GGGAAACAAAACTCCACATATGAAACAATATTTTGAATTTTTCTACAGATACTCTATAACATTTCATAACATAATTTAGACATTTTGCTTGTTGAAATCAATTAGGACATATTCAAATGCGTTGTTATATTTTTGCAGTGCATTAATAAATAATATTTTAGACAGAATGACAATTTAATTGATTGAATTCTACTGTTTGACATTCCAAAATGAAACATCTTAATTATAATTGAAAGTTAATTTAAAACAACAAAACTTACGTCATCAAGGCGTTTAAGGCTATTGTTTGGACCTCTATTTCGGGAAGACGAAATGTCTTTCATTCTCAGATAACCAACACCAAAACACCTAAATCCGCCATCTTGCCGCGATGGCCGATGTTTTAATAAACACGTCTAGACCAATGTTGCCATCCTCGCAGCTTGTTTACGATCTAGCAAATAAATAAATAATTTAATTTCTCTATCTATTCAATTGTCATTCGTTTTAAAATATTATTTTANATAATGAATGTGAAAAAAATAGAATGTATAGAAAAGTACATTTATGAGGAAATAAACAAGTAAATGCTCTTACAAAAAACTTAATAAAGGAAATATTTGTAAATAAAACAAAAATAACTTGTAAAAAATAGGATATATTTTTAATAAAAATTGAAATTTTAACTAAATTTCATTCAGATATTTAGTTAATAACATTATTATAAATTACAATCAACAGAACTTTTCGCTACCACTAACAGTTTTTCTCTTTCTTTTTTCAGGATAGTTTCGGGCTATAACAAATTTCGATATAGATTATTCTTTACATCTAAACTCCAACTTTAAGGCGATTAAAAAGTTTTAATAATCACAATTTTTTTTAATATATAAATGAGAAAATATATTTATTAATAACTAATTTAGAAAAATATACATCATAAAAATTGTTATTTAAGCTAATCTTAATATGCAGTGTGGTTGTGATTTATACAATCTTTGTGATTTTGATATAAGACAATATTTCTTAATGTGTCATTTGGTTTTTACACATATGTTCTTGTAGACTATTAAAAAAAAAGCTTATAAGAATTGATCAAAAGATTGCAATAAGTAAATATTTATAAGTTATTAGTTATACTATACTATATAAGCTTTTGTTCCAAACAACATTTAAAATTACATCATGTATGTTAATTATTTTTAAAAATTTTTCTTAATTTAGTTGTATAAAATATTTGAAAAATTCTTATCTGGATGACTGCTTATGCATTTGTTGAATATAATCTTTAAAATTTTTAATGAATNCAACTTTAAGGCGATTAAAAAGTTTTAATAATCACAATTTTTTTTAATATATTTCTTTATTTTTTTTTGTTTCTTTATTTGAAGACCGACAGAAAAACGTTATTTACAATAACAGTTAACTAGATGAATTCATCAAAAATCACGTAACAAAACAAATCCTGAGCCAAGGAAATTATTACAAACGAAAACTTAGCCTTTTTCGACTGATTTCAATCACGATTGTCTTAACTTCAGAGAATTGCATTTATTTAAAATAAATAAATAAGTTTTATTTTTCTAAGTCAAATTATAAAAATATGGGGGCAGCAAACAACTTTGCTTGGGGCGTAAAACTGGCTATCGGCATCTACGATAGCAAAAAGTTATTCGATTGCAATGCATTCTTTTATTAGATTTATTACAATAGGTCCTCTTTTCTTTGGACATGTTCTCTTTTGAATGTAAAAATTTTGCCTAAATGGATATTTATGAATATATTTGAAGGTGTTGAGAAAAAACATATATTTGAAGTCGCTCGGTCCACCTTGAATCGAAAATGAGATAACTCATAGCTCTTGGAGTTAGCTATGTGAAGCTTTATTCAAACATTTCGAAACGGTATAATTATTGGCTATGCAGACTTTCCAAGTTTGCAGTGCATTTCATAACGAGTTCAGTCCAATACATTGTAAATCTGAAAACGCAGTCCTGTGCATGCGTCTTACTCTATGGACTGAATGCAGCACAAACTTGGGAAGCCTGCAGAAGGTTCGCAAGTTTGTGCTGTATTCAGTAGGCTTGAAAACAATTATAAGAAAAAGAATGCACTATTATTTAAGCTTTATATCAAATTATCGAATGTTATCTGTATACTAACTAAAATAATTGTAAAATAATTGTGCCAAGTGTTGGAATTCTATAATTATTGTCTTCGTCATCATCATTGGGTTGACAGACCATTATCTGTTCACATAAAAGTGAAACAATTAGCTAAATCCAAACATTATGGATCTGAAAATTCCGAGAATTAAGAATAAGTGAATGATTGTTATATAAAATATTTGCTTTTTCTAACCAATATCTGATTTCTATAATTAAACAATAATGGTTTGCATACAAGCACCATATGAGTTAGGCTTATACTTAGACTACACATCTAACAAATTTTAACTCGCTATTCCATTTTGTATATGGAGGTGTCCATTTAAAAAAGTCCAGGAACAAAAGAGATCTTTCCAGCATTGCACGAGTGTAAGCATGTGTTGCATGCTTGTTCCAACGCTAAAATAAAGGGAATCAATTTAAGACGATTTATCATAACATACAAAATATATCACTGTAAAAGATAAAGACAAAATTTCTGCAATTTTTTAGAACTGTACGAATGCTCGTGTACGAATGCTAAAAATCCATCCATACTCTTGTCGAAACGTCTCAACAAGAGTCGAGCCCAGGCGAACAATATACTTTATTTAATAAAGTATATCGTTTTGTAGTCCATTAAATAAATTATAAGGACAATAGAGAGGTTGAGGCGCACGTTTTAAACGTGTAAACGTGTACGTGTGACGTTCNAATTTGATTATTTTTAAAAAGCATATAAATTAACCTTTAAGAATTCATAATAAATTGGCTCTATTGCCAATATTACTTTAGGATTTTTATGAACAAGTCTAAAATATTTAAATTAAAGTTACAAACATTATTTATAAAAATAAACTGAAATAATTATGATATTTCTTAAAATCTATCTTGATTAAAATCGAGAATATTTTGGAATAAAATTATTGCAAATTTTTAATATTCTAGTTTTATTTAAAACTTTAACATTCATTTCCCAGGATTGTTTATTATTAATATCATTCGAATACTATAATATTTATGTTTCAAGATAATACTATACCTGTTTTCTATAGATAAACCATTTAAATTTAACAAATTTATTTAAATAATTAACAAAAGATTGCTTGGATTTTTTTACAATAAATATTCCTGTTAAATTACCAGTTTTTAGAGATTTACTAGAACCAAATTTAAAGGATTTCGGTAGATAAATTCCATCTATTTTTATCGTTTCCGAATTTCTTTGTGCAATGAATGACTACAAATATTTATAATTTATTTTCACTCAATTTGTAATTTACCTTTCCTGTAGAATTGGAATTTTAGGAAGTTTTCTGTATAGGCTACATCTAGTTATTTACAGTAGAATACTGTAAAAATTTTAACGATTTTTGAAAATATAAAATTCTCATATTTTATTTCAGGATATAAAAATTTATAACAAAGTTATTAAATATAATTTTCGGTACAAAAATAGGTATAATGAAAAAAGTAATAAAAGTTATAAGAAATAAAAGATTAATTTATAANTAAACGTGTACGTGTGACGTTCGGCGCCGCTTTCCCGTAAGCCTAAAAGTTTGACGATGGAGTTTGGAATGTCGAGCGTGATTCCACCGACTATCCAAACATCATTGTCAAACTTTTAGGCTTACGGGAAAACGGCGCCGAACGTCACACGTACACGTTTACACGTTTAAAACGTGTGCCTCAACCTCTCTAATATTTATGAAATTAGTTTGTTACGAAAATTGAGGGAGCGCAAAATTTTTTTCTGAAAAAGAGAGGCGTAGGTACAGAAAGTTTGGAAACTACTGTATTAGAGAATTGTTCGTGAGTATAAGGCATTGCCCCTGTACCCTATTACCTAATACAGTGGCGTACTCAAGATTTAATCTTGGGACCGTCTTGTCGTATCTTATGGTATATGATGCTGATGTCTCTTTAAATACATTAGCATCATGTGCTCTTGTGCCGCAATGTGATTTATCAAAATTGCTTTTGTAATTTGCATCTTGGTCTGATGTTTGAAAAATTTACATATTGCCGCTGGATTATCGTGTAATTGTCACATGTCTCTTTTGTTGAATGATTCATTTTATTTTGCTGAATGCATTGATTTATTATCATCGTGGAATTTTAAATGAATTAATTTTTGGATAGATATTTAAGCACTGGATAAGTACTTTCCAGCTGCTCTGGAACAAGCATACACTCGTGTAATGCTAGAAAGATCTATATTGCTTCTAGACAGATGTAAATGGATATCCCGTATAACTGCAATGGCTTTTGATATCGGATGGTCACCCCTCACTCAATATAGTAAATTAATTCTCTTTGCTATTCTTTATATATGTAGTAAACTCTTGAGTTAGAGTAATTTAAATCTAATTTTTTGCATATTTATGCCATTGTTTTGATTTCAGACATATACCCAAATAATTCGATTTTGATTGTACTTTAATTATAAGAGAAGAATGGCACATTATAATACTTGAATTCCTTTAATTAAAGATATCCACAAATTCATAAAATTCCTATATAATGCTCAATCTCATAATACAACTATCAATAAAAGTAAAGTAAGTATTAATTCAAGTAATAAAAAACCAATTGATCTTCATAGTTCATATAATCGAGAATGCAGATATCTTCTGGCATTATCTGCTAGATAAGTCTTGAATAAAGACTCTTTTCGCTCAAGGCATTTAGAGACAAGTCTGGCGAATATCAAAGGCACCGACACAAGCTGCTCTACAGTTGATTTATATCGGCGTTTTGTATCTATATATTCGACGAAGATCGAGTTAATAATTTTGAACTTTCAAAGTCATTTTATAGTTAAAATCGACATTTATATTTTTTTTGATACNAATAAATAAGTTTGTATTAATGACCGGAGCCATCGAACAAGAAAATTAATATTATTAATAATTATTATAATAAATAATAATAGCAAAACAATAATAGGAAACGGTGATAAAACTCCAATTTTATGTAAAAATCAGAGTTGGCCTCTCTTTATAAATCGTAGAAAACTAAATTAGAACCGCATTGGTAAAAAGTATAGATCAAGGTTCCACTCATACATGATCTTTTTTATTTATTTATTAAAGAGCTGTAAATCGCATTTAAAAATGCAAAGGTGACTCACAAATATCCCAAAAACGTGAAATACTTTTTAGACTCCTTGTTCGCCTTCGTCGACGACGTTTAAAGAAGGAAGATCTAAAATGGTTGTCTAGAAATGCAGATGATTCGGACATAAACAGGTGGAATCAAACTACGTTTGAATTTAAAATTGCAAGTAGAATAAAGGAACGATTTTGGTGTGTCCTACTTTACTTTCTTCATTGATCTAGAAGCCTGTTTTTTTAATAACTTATATACCACACTCCTCACCGACTTTAGCTTCTCGACTGTAAATCACAGTAACAATAGTGCAATATTAAAAATGATGTATTTTTACAATCACTCGATTTTAGTTAAATATTATTTTGTTTTGCTGTATATTGTTAAAATACAACAACGGTTAATTAATTTTTTAAACTATATTTTCTTATGAGCATATTTTCTTGCCTAACTCTTATGTCACCCAAACGGACATTTGCAAGGTGCTGAGCAATCTTCTGTGCCTTTGATGTTATGTACAGTACATTGCGGATATTTGTATATATTCTAAATGTTTTAATATTAACTTTCACCACAATCTACTCTTCCTTTTATCAATCCAAAATAAATCGACTAAGTTGATAAACTATCTTCCTGGCGAGTGTTTGTTCGCGAATTTCATTCATTCGCCGCAATTGAATATAAATTTGAAGAAAAATTTTCACAAAAACAACAACAACGATGACAAATGTGTATCGAACATTAGAATATTGCGAAAATAAGTAGAGAAATCATTTTTTCTTTTTTTTGTGTTTATTTTTTAAACAGCATTTTCCTGAGAGAACAAGATCAGAATCCGAATCTATCTTGTTTTATCATTTTATATATCGAATAAAAAAGTCTAAATCCCATAAAGCGAAAACTTTCAACATTATTTTACAACAGCAACACTCCTCATAACTTCAATCAAACATCAACAGCTCTTAACAATATTATTTTGGTAATTTTTTTAGTGTCGTCTGTCGCTTCGACAGATAAATCCTTTCCAGAGGTGCGATGCTCCAGTTATTATTCTCTTGAGAAAAGCTCTTTTGGAATTTATATTCTATATTTGTTTCTGCAGGCAGTATATATTTATATATTTAATTTATATATCTGTATATATATATATTCACCTGAGTTCCTTATAAAGGTGTTGTTTCATTGTATATATATATATATATATATTATATCACACTCTATGCACTTGTTTTGTTTATACACAGTGTGCAAATACGAGTGCAGTGTGCATACCAGGCACAGAATGTATGTAAAATTTATAACATCTCACTTGTAGAGATATACTTTTAATCTTCTGTATTATTTTTAAAGCCTTTAGGCCTTTCTTTTTTTTAATCTTCTACCTAAGTCACTAGATATCATTCTTGCTTACACGGACAAATACTAGTATTAATTTCCTCGAGTTTTATACATGTCCTGCTATTTCCATCTGTAGATAAAAGGGTATAAAACGATCCATTTAAATAAATAAAAACAGAGAAACAATCAACGAACAAGTGAAGGAAAAAATAATAAGCTTTGAAACCTGTACATCCAACAACTTTGTACTGTACAATCTTGAACTGAGAAAAGGACAAAAGACATCGTTTATTATATTTTATCTTTTTTATAAAACTAGAATGTGATCATATTTTTAACAACTGATTCTGCATATTGCTGAGTATTAACAGGAACAGGTCAATTCCAATTCGAAAGCGCCCACAAAGAGATTCGTTCAAAAAATTGATGATCAAAGAACTAGCTTTGACATCTAAAGATGGCTATGGCTGTTGACAGAGACACAAATTACCAAACGGAATGATACACGTCTAGTAGTAAATAGCTAATGTTATTTTTTAAAAGTCCTGAAACACATTAAATTAAAAAGAATTATCACTGACAACGTACTAAGATATCTCGTTTAAAGTACAAAAAGCACTGGATGTGCTAGCAATAGTCTTTAATCCTAATTCTATTAGCCTGCAGCACTTATTCATAGAAGCAATTGTAAAGAAAGCCTGCATAAGAGGCCTAAAATGTGTATAACCTTGCGGAGATATCTAAGAACTAGTTGTTTGAAAGGTAAACCAATGCAGACACAAATTTGTCTGCAACAACGAATGTACTAGATAGAGATGTCTTTTCCATGTTTAAGAGAGAAAAAATTGAAGAAAAAACATTTATACAGAAAGGATATTTTACAAGTTGATCAATTTTTTATATCACTTCTAGGATCTTCTGATAGTTCGACACTTGGCTTCGTTCCTTATATCATTTTCCTATTGCATACTAAATAATACTGGAATGTCTCCTCTTCGACCCTGTAGTTCTCTAGGAAGGGCGTGAAACTGTAAGTGCTATATTTACAATGAACCATTCCTTTCTATTATTTTTAGGATCACAAGGAACGGGGCGTAAACTTTGAAAAAGTTACTACATAACAGTATTCGATGCTGATTAGCAGAAAGTCGGTTTGTGGGTTCGTGTATAAGAGAGGAATTAACTGCAGATTTTTAACACTGTACAATGATATGGATGGGGATCTTTCCACGGTAGGAATTAACGGTGTGGCCGGAAAGGATTATCTGGTTGTAAACACCAGTTCAATACTGTAATTGAAAGGTCATATCGGCCGGATAAACGTATCCAATCACAAAAAAATTAAAGCGTTGATATGCGTACTTGACTGGTTACAGGTACCGATGGGTCTGCGTCCGAGTTTGAGCTTGGTGTGATGACTGTGGTTGTAACCGATCCTCCGATGGGAAGGGTGGACATTGTGGTCACCACGGGAACCGGATTGTTCAAGTTGGACCTGGAGATGATATGATGCTGCTGAAAATCACTCGTTTGAGGAGCTCTATTGGGAACGCGCACTTGAATGTCATTCAATTCTTCTTCCTGCACCGATGCTGGAGTGTGCTGCTGTTCGGAAAAATCCCAGAGTTATGAAATCAATTAATACAATGCTTAAATTTGCTTATAATAAAATCATTTCAATTCATAATAACAAAAAGCGGCTAATAATAAATTAGTTGGCAATTAATACTGAAAACAACATTATTTATTCAAATTCGTTACGCGGTTATTATTATCATAGCATATTCAGTTGCTATATTCGACTACTAACCTACATTGCAGTTCTATTCTGGTTTATAGACTTGAAAAATAAATTATGCAACAGAAAACGCAATAAAACTATACGTAAATAGAGATTATTTAGTTTTGAAAAATTAGCCAGAAAATCGTTTATTATATTTTTGAAATATAAGAAGCAAACTTTTAAAATAATGAAACCACGAAAAACAGCAAAATTGAGATTTAAGATGGAACTAAAACATTCTTTAGTAAAATATCTACAAGCCATGCATAAACGAAAATAAATTTTTACGATCTTCAATAAATTGCTTATGTAATGCACCGTATTTTATAAATGTGCAACAGTATTTTGTCCAATAACAAAAGAAAGGTTTTTCTATTCAACGAGAAGACCGCAAACAGCATTGATTTAATGGCAAATTATCAATACTTTCATAAGAAATATAGCAAGGGTTTTCGAGAATTTGGAAGCTCGCAAATTCCAATTTGCGATAGTTTCAAACGGGAGAAAAATATATATGTGAGTAGACAAAGCAACACTTGCCTGATATTTCTTCTTACTCCAACGTCTCCCACAACAAGTCTGAAACGAATTATTCTCTTGGGAAGATAAAGATGGAGCTGGCGATAATGGCGGTGTGGAGGAAGGTCTATTTGGTTGACCGTTGTAAGGTACTTCTAATTCTACAAATTCGCGATCCTGAAACAGATTTTTAAACGATAGAAGGTGTCAGGATGAAAGGAATATTTTATTACTATCAATTAATCAATAGAAATGGAAACCGGGAGGTTGAAGTTGTTGACGTGACAGAAAGAATTACACAGGATTTTCTAAGAAAGGTCAAAACAGAATCGATATTCAGTACGATAATGTTTTCTTTTTTTATTCGGTTGCGTATGTTAACTGTCGAAAATAAGAAAAGTTTTCGAAAGCGCACCAAGCAAATGTAAGAAATGATGGTAATCTGTTGCGGATACATCGATCGACTTACCGTCGTTTTCTCTAAACATCTCAAAAGATGGTGATGTTGCAATTCAAAGATATCTTCGGCAGATTCTTCGATTTCTTGTCCACATTCCCTTGCAGCTAACCTCGCTTCCACGGCTTTCTTCTTACTGACAAATGCCGCTCCACTCGTAACCTTTGCAATACGGATTCTGGCCATTCGTGCTTTCTGTTAAATAAATAAAATGTAGTTAGAAACGAAATCGTGCTTAAAAGAAAATCTATACTTAATAAACAAGTCAAAAAGAGTATCATTTTTTTCCTTAAATGTTTGCTCTGTCAATCACGTTCACGTTTTTTCCCTTCCTACTTTAATCGTCTATTTTTAAACGCTTCGAGAAACGCATTAACTCAACTACATCAAAATTTAAGTTAGAAGAATAAATACCTAATAGAAAATGCATTTAACTTTTTTAAGTAACGGAATTTTTCAAATATTTAAAATAAACATATAAAATTAATTTTATTTCTTTCAAAATGAAGATTCGAAATATTTTCTAAGAGCCAAGGCATTTGATGAAAAGTAGTCTACAATAAGTGACCCATTAAAGAGATCATCCAGTCAACATATCTTAACTGAGACTCTATTCTGTATCGTTAAATTGAGTCATTGGATTGTTCTTATCGTCTAAACTATTTATAGGAGATATAACTAAAGCCTCGTCCATTCAAAAATACAACTTAAATCCAATGGAGACTCAACTTGGAAAAGATAATATTATATTGCAAATTTAATTAATGTTCCGTTATAAAATTAAAAATAAAAACTATTCGGATGAGGAAAGCTCATTCAAATGAACATAAAAATCTAAATTATGTAGAAAAACGAATCGATATTTTCAATCTTTCAAAAATCTCCAACAACCCTTTCCGTTCTAGATAACGACTCTATCTAAAACGGAAAGAGTTTTTATAATGTGAAAAGCATGGAAATAAAGACGTAAAAAAGTTCGAATTTTACGCGATGTGACAGATAGACCTGCAGAGTTTATTGTTTAAACTTTAATAATGTAGGCTACGTGCTTAATTTAGAATCGTTCTATATATTTTCTATTGTTTTCGTCATTGTTTGCTCGGCTTAGCCTTGATATACATTGATTTAACGCATTTAATAAACCACGCTTGTTAACTTGTCCACTCTGTATTTCCTGCATTATGTCCCATTTCCTAATTGTATTATATCCTTCTCGACAATCTTTCCATTTCTTTCTTTTTCTTTTTAATGATAGATTATTCTACCGATTGAATAAATTCTAATAGATATAATGTTTCTCTTTTTGAATTTCGTAAAGCACTAGAAATCTACTGATATATTCTTTTTCTTTCCTTTCTCTTAATCCTTAATTCCTAAAGTAGATTTTTCTTCGTTTAAGACCTTGTTACTTTCCATCTTATCCTCCTACATCCTATAACTTATGAATAGACCTATAGCAATCTCTTTTCCGCTATAAAAAAACCATATCTAATAATTAAATAATTGATATAGCATTACATTTACTTGAATATCTTATGTATTATTTAGGGATTGTATACCGGTTTACCGATTTACCGGTTAACCGATAAATTGACAAAAAAACATTCGGTAAACTTACCGGTAANGTAATTTTAATTTTTTCACAAAAAAATCGTGCAGAATATTTTAAAAATAATATAAACTTTTTTTAAAGTACAACTACATCTTCGCATTACTTTAATATTCGTGCAATACATTATCGCATTTGACATAATTATATAGCAAATGGTTTATTATCCGGATTATTATACTTAAATATAGTCATTAGTCGATCGAAATAGAAAATTAGATTAATATAAAATAGATTAAATGCTTAAATTTTATCAAGATAAGGAAAATTTGATAAAATTTAAGCATTTTTCGTGCCTATATTTATCATTAGAGAATAAAAATGATAAGATTTAAGAAACTATAACTTACATATGTAAAAATTCAATTTTTATTTTCTTAAAATAGCCGACAAACAAATCAGATTTGGGCTTTCGAGAAAGGAGGATAAAAATTGTATGTAGAAAGAATAAAATGTAGATTTTCGTAGGTTGTCCTGTAGAAGACGTGAAGAAGTCCTTTGTGTAATTACTTATCTTATGTTAAGTCAACCCAGCGAGAATCAGGATAGTTAATTAAACGAGACTGTTATTGACAGGATAATTTAATAAGAGATCAGTGAATTCTTTATTTCTCTCTTAACTGGCTTAAATGTAGCATCGAATATTTCTCTAAGGGCGCCTCTATTGATCTCTGTTCTTATAAATTTAAATAAGATATAATTTTCTAAATCTAGAGACGTATTACCTTTCATATATTTTTTTATGTCCGTACACCCGTTTTGATTGTATCTCACTTAGGCAGTTTGTTTGATGTATGATAACCTTGTTCTCCGACTCTATAAATAATTATGAATAGCATATTTTTCTAGATTTATACAGAAACATTGTACGGGGATGAATAATATAACCGTCTAACTAATAATAATTAAATAATGAATGAACCAAATATACTTGGAGGTGCATCGAACCGAGTGGAAAGGATAAATTAACGAGACTATAATTTAAAAAAAAAATGTTTTATTGGTCGTTTAAGTTTAGTTCTTTTATCAGTCTGAAAGGTTCTTATTGATCCGTTCGTAACATTTTCTTATAACGTCACGAAGTTCGCGTTGAAAGTCGTTCAGAAGTGGACTCGAAGTAGACATCGTTTTGGAATTTCTTTGTATGGAAGATTCTTGGAAACTCGATCCGTCCAGCTGCAGAAAACGATTCTCGCGACGTGGAGTCAATTTTATTTGTTTACGATCGATCGGTTGTTTGAATTTTTGCTGGTTCCATCAACACCGATTGAAGTACTTGCAGCAAAGTTTACTTTCAGATCTTCTTTATTGTTCGTGCTGCATTCCTCTCGTAAAATTTATACAACACACTCATGCAGTTTCTATTATTATAAATACTAAATTTGCCTCTGATAAACCTCGTGAGTGTTAAAAATTTGGCGACGAAATAGAATAAAGATTCGTCAGTCGATTGCCGGCAATAACAAAGCATTAACTGATCTATATCAAAATATTCAAAATTTCTTATAATAAGAGAATATTATTATAAATTATGAATGTTTTCCTCTACAGAACAGTTACCGAGCTTAAAACTTTTGTATAAATTTAAAAATGGCATTATTTAAAATGCTTAATTTCAATAAGTAATCATTTAAAATAGCATATTTAGAATTTTTTAATGCTAACGAATGGATTATATCTCATCATTCAAATTCTAACTATAGAACTTATTAATACTATCTGAGAAAAGTTTAGAGAATTATAAAAAATATTAAAAAATTCACTAAATATAGTCTACACTTTTTGTGCCAAAAAATTAGGAATATCGATTATTAAAGAATAAATCGATATTTATTTAAAATAAAAAAAAATTCAGCACTCGATTTATTATTATTATTTTTTCTCTAATTTTTTATTCTGTAAAAAAATATCGATAATATATATTCCGATATTTAAATGTATATCTGGATAATATCGAACAGTGTGTAACATTTTGAAGAATTTTTTATTTGCTCTTGAAAGAGTCGTGACCCATATCTTTGGAAATTATACACTATAAATAGATATTGATCAGAGATAAGTTAGACCAATGTCTGCTGATAATTAATTAAGATTAAAAGAAATAAATAGATATATTTCTCGAAACTAAATATAGCATAAAATACTCATGGTTTAATGTATAGAACTATATTGTTCTGTAAACAAAAATAAAAATTATATATTGTTAAAATTCCATTTATTTTTTTAATACATCTGTTTAAATATTAACATGTTTACATTGTTCGTTTCTTGATTATGTTGCTTCCGTATTTACTTCATAATAATGAATAGATAATGGATAGAATAATAATGAATAGATTTAGATAATAGATATATCTAAAATATAAAATAAAAATTATAATTAATTAAATTATTATTCTTATTAAAATAAAGTAATTTATGTACTGTATTGTGACAGATAAAAGAATTTATTTAATTAATATTATTATTTGTTTAAAAAAAATTAATACAGAAATAAAATAGTTTAGTTAGGTGTTTTCGTAAAAATTTTCTTTGTTATTTTCGTTTTAACAGACAAAATGGAGAAAGAATTTTAAGAATTAATAATAGAAATAAATGTTTTATAATTATAAAATAGTTTTTAGTTATTAAATAGTTGACAAAATGTTTTATTCTAGAAGGAAATAAGGTAGAGACTAGCTTACCCGTCTCATCTATCACGATTTGCATTTAAAATAAACATTAAACATGTGTAACGCAGATAATTAAAACACCGTAAAAAGAAATAAACTCATTTTTGAAGAGAACCATTTCTCTATTCTCTGGAATAATTCCGTTTAATATAATTTCGTTTTAGTATAGATGCATTTTAAAAATTATTCTGGATCTATTTAAATATTAAAAACGTCACAAAAATACGAATAATTAAACGACAAAAAAAATTAACTAGAAATTTAATTGAAACACTTTATTTGTATTCCGAACTTACCTTTATTTCATACCTAACGATTTCTAATTAATTTTTTTTTTGGCAGAACGATGGACTTCATATTAAATTCTTCATAAGTCTTTTTAATGTTCGGTTGACATACCAAATTTTATCATTTATTTATTGCCTTACTGCTTATCGTCCATTATTCCCTTAACATAAAGCTATAAATGTGCGAAATATAAATTTATATATTGTGCAGTAAATTATATATATTTTATACTTTTTATATTTTTATTCTTCGTTGTAATTAAAGCAAAGGAAATCCGTCTAAAACTCTATTAAAAAAATTTTTTAATAGTAAATTTATTTTATTTGAAATTTTTTAAAAGAAAATCTAACGCATTTCATTTTAAGAAATTTAAAAAGAAATGATTTTTTTTATATGTCTAATAATTAATTAATTGACTTTTATATATTTAAATAAGTTAATTAATTTTAAAACTTCATTTATATAAAATATTTCAATTGAAAGATTTGTTTGCTTTCGAAAGCAATAGCAATTTTTCAAATAAGCTTTTTTTTTCTTCTAATTATTTTTCTTTGCTCCGGAATAAATAAAATCGTACTTAAAGTAGATGAAGTTGTTAGTATAAAAATCTAAATTCATCACGTGAACATCTAATATGCTTTAAAAGAAATGAGTTTATTTAGTAGCACGATATCCAATGAGATTAAGATCGCTTCTGAATAAATTTTCTAAACATCTAAATCTAATAAAGTCATTAAGCTTATAAAAAACTCGAAATGTTTCTAAAGATTTTCTATATATAAATTCTATAGTCGAATATATATATATATACATATGTGTTTTATATACATATATACATGTGTGTTTTTATCCTTTGTCGTTAAGATGGTTTAAATATTCAATGTTTTTTACGTCACATTTGAAATCCTCGTTTTCTAGATTGATTTTATCAATAATATTTTTTCTTTCATTTAATAAATAATTGATTTGAGTAATGGAAAAATGAATAATTAGTTAAGGAAATGAACTACCTATGCACAGAAATCGTTAAGAAACGAATGTAAAAAATAAGTAAAAACTAAAATAAAAACGAAAATATATGTAGAGGTAAATATAAATTTATGTAATATAAATATATATATATATATATATAAAGTTTCACGAGAAAATTAATAAGAATATAATGAATGTGAAAAAAATAGAATGTATAGAAAAGTACATTTATGAGGAAATAAACAAGTAAATGCTCTTACAAAAAACTTAATAAAGGAAATATTTGTAAATAAAACAAAAATAACTTGTAAAAAATAGGATATATTTTTAATAAAAATTGAAATTTTAACTAAATTTCATTCAGATATTTAGTTAATAACATTATTATAAATTACAATCAACAGAACTTTTCGCTACCACTAACAGTTTTTCTCTTTCTTTTTTCAGGATAGTTTCGGGCTATAACAAATTTCGATATAGATTATTCTTTACATCTAAACTCCAACTTTAAGGCGATTAAAAAGTTTTAATAATCACAATTTTTTTTAATATATTTCTTTATTTTTTTTTGTTTCTTTATTTGAAGACCGACAGAAAAACGTTATTTACAATAACAGTTAACTAGATGAATTCATCAAAAATCACGTAACAAAACAAATCCTGAGCCAAGGAAATTATTACAAACGAAAACTTAGCCTTTTTCGACTGATTTCAATCACGATTGTCTTAACTTCAGAGAATTGCATTTATTTAAAATAAATAAATAAGTTTGTATTAATGACCGGAGCCATCGAACAAGAAAATTAATATTATTAATAATTATTATAATAAATAATAATAGCAAAACAATAATAGGAAACGGTGATAAAACTCCAATTTTATGTAAAAATCAGAGTTGGCCTCTCTTTATAAATCGTAGAAAACTAAATTAGAACCGCATTGGTAAAAAGTATAGATCAAGGTTCCACTCATACATGATCTTTTTTATTTATTTATTAAAGAGCTGTAAATCGCATTTAAAAATGCAAAGGTGACTCACAAATATCCCAAAAACGTGAAATACTTTTTAGACTCCTTGTTCGCCTTCGTCGACGACGTTTAAAGAAGGAAGATCTAAAATGGTTGTCTAGAAATGCAGATGATTCGGACATAAACAGGTGGAATCAAACTACGTTTGAATTTAAAATTGCAAGTAGAATAAAGGAACGATTTTGGTGTGTCCTACTTTACTTTCTTCATTGATCTAGAAGCCTGTTTTTTTAATAACTTATATACCACACTCCTCACCGACTTTAGCTTCTCGACTGTAAATCACAGTAACAATAGTGCAATATTAAAAATGATGTATTTTTACAATCACTCGATTTTAGTTAAATATTATTTTGTTTTGCTGTATATTGTTAAAATACAACAACGGTTAATTAATTTTTTAAACTATATTTTCTTATGAGCATATTTTCTTGCCTAACTCTTATGTCACCCAAACGGACATTTGCAAGGTGCTGAGCAATCTTCTGTGCCTTTGATGTTATGTACAGTACATTGCGGATATTTGTATATATTCTAAATGTTTTAATATTAACTTTCACCACAATCTACTCTTCCTTTTATCAATCCAAAATAAATCGACTAAGTTGATAAACTATCTTCCTGGCGAGTGTTTGTTCGCGAATTTCATTCATTCGCCGCAATTGAATATAAATTTGAAGAAAAATTTTCACAAAAACAACAACAACGATGACAAATGTGTATCGAACATTAGAATATTGCGAAAATAAGTAGAGAAATCATTTTTTCTTTTTTTTGTGTTTATTTTTTAAACAGCATTTTCCTGAGAGAACAAGATCAGAATCCGAATCTATCTTGTTTTATCATTTTATATATCGAATAAAAAAGTCTAAATCCCATAAAGCGAAAACTTTCAACATTATTTTACAACAGCAACACTCCTCATAACTTCAATCAAACATCAACAGCTCTTAACAATATTATTTTGGTAATTTTTTTAGTGTCGTCTGTCGCTTCGACAGATAAATCCTTTCCAGAGGTGCGATGCTCCAGTTATTATTCTCTTGAGAAAAGCTCTTTTGGAATTTATATTCTATATTTGTTTCTGCAGGCAGTATATATTTATATATTTAATTTATATATCTGTATATATATATATTCACCTGAGTTCCTTATAAAGGTGTTGTTTCATTGTATATATATATATATATATATTATATCACACTCTATGCACTTGTTTTGTTTATACACAGTGTGCAAATACGAGTGCAGTGTGCATACCAGGCACAGAATGTATGTAAAATTTATAACATCTCACTTGTAGAGATATACTTTTAATCTTCTGTATTATTTTTAAAGCCTTTAGGCCTTTCTTTTTTTTAATCTTCTACCTAAGTCACTAGATATCATTCTTGCTTACACGGACAAATACTAGTATTAATTTCCTCGAGTTTTATACATGTCCTGCTATTTCCATCTGTAGATAAAAGGGTATAAAACGATCCATTTAAATAAATAAAAACAGAGAAACAATCAACGAACAAGTGAAGGAAAAAATAATAAGCTTTGAAACCTGTACATCCAACAACTTTGTACTGTACAATCTTGAACTGAGAAAAGGACAAAAGACATCGTTTATTATATTTTATCTTTTTTATAAAACTAGAATGTGATCATATTTTTAACAACTGATTCTGCATATTGCTGAGTATTAACAGGAACAGGTCAATTCCAATTCGAAAGCGCCCACAAAGAGATTCGTTCAAAAAATTGATGATCAAAGAACTAGCTTTGACATCTAAAGATGGCTATGGCTGTTGACAGAGACACAAATTACCAAACGGAATGATACACGTCTAGTAGTAAATAGCTAATGTTATTTTTTAAAAGTCCTGAAACACATTAAATTAAAAAGAATTATCACTGACAACGTACTAAGATATCTCGTTTAAAGTACAAAAAGCACTGGATGTGCTAGCAATAGTCTTTAATCCTAATTCTATTAGCCTGCAGCACTTATTCATAGAAGCAATTGTAAAGAAAGCCTGCATAAGAGGCCTAAAATGTGTATAACCTTGCGGAGATATCTAAGAACTAGTTGTTTGAAAGGTAAACCAATGCAGACACAAATTTGTCTGCAACAACGAATGTACTAGATAGAGATGTCTTTTCCATGTTTAAGAGAGAAAAAATTGAAGAAAAAACATTTATACAGAAAGGATATTTTACAAGTTGATCAATTTTTTATATCACTTCTAGGATCTTCTGATAGTTCGACACTTGGCTTCGTTCCTTATATCATTTTCCTATTGCATACTAAATAATACTGGAATGTCTCCTCTTCGACCCTGTAGTTCTCTAGGAAGGGCGTGAAACTGTAAGTGCTATATTTACAATGAACCATTCCTTTCTATTATTTTTAGGATCACAAGGAACGGGGCGTAAACTTTGAAAAAGTTACTACATAACAGTATTCGATGCTGATTAGCAGAAAGTCGGTTTGTGGGTTCGTGTATAAGAGAGGAATTAACTGCAGATTTTTAACACTGTACAATGATATGGATGGGGATCTTTCCACGGTAGGAATTAACGGTGTGGCCGGAAAGGATTATCTGGTTGTAAACACCAGTTCAATACTGTAATTGAAAGGTCATATCGGCCGGATAAACGTATCCAATCACAAAAAAATTAAAGCGTTGATATGCGTACTTGACTGGTTACAGGTACCGATGGGTCTGCGTCCGAGTTTGAGCTTGGTGTGATGACTGTGGTTGTAACCGATCCTCCGATGGGAAGGGTGGACATTGTGGTCACCACGGGAACCGGATTGTTCAAGTTGGACCTGGAGATGATATGATGCTGCTGAAAATCACTCGTTTGAGGAGCTCTATTGGGAACGCGCACTTGAATGTCATTCAATTCTTCTTCCTGCACCGATGCTGGAGTGTGCTGCTGTTCGGAAAAATCCCAGAGTTATGAAATCAATTAATACAATGCTTAAATTTGCTTATAATAAAATCATTTCAATTCATAATAACAAAAAGCGGCTAATAATAAATTAGTTGGCAATTAATACTGAAAACAACATTATTTATTCAAATTCGTTACGCGGTTATTATTATCATAGCATATTCAGTTGCTATATTCGACTACTAACCTACATTGCAGTTCTATTCTGGTTTATAGCCTTGAAAAATAAATTATGCAACAGAAAACGCAATAAAACTATACGTAAATAGAGATTATTTAGTTTTGAAAAATTAGCCAGAAAATCGTTTATTATATTTTTGAAATATAAGAAGCAAACTTTTAAAATAATGAAACCACGAAAAACAGCAAAATTGAGATTTAAGATGGAACTAAAACATTCTTTAGTAAAATATCTACAAGCCATGCATAAACGAAAATAAATTTTTACGATCTTCAATAAATTGCTTATGTAATGCACCGTATTTTATAAATGTGCAACAGTATTTTGTCCAATAACAAAAGAAAGGTTTTTCTATTCAACGAGAAGACCGCAAACAGCATTGATTTAATGGCAAATTATCAATACTTTCATAAGAAATATAGCAAGGGTTTTCGAGAATTTGGAAGCTCGCAAATTCCAATTTGCGATAGTTTCAAACGGGAGAAAAATATATATGTGAGTAGACAAAGCAACACTTGCCTGATATTTCTTCTTACTCCAACGTCTCCCACAACAAGTCTGAAACGAATTATTCTCTTGGGAAGATAAAGATGGAGCTGGCGATAATGGCGGTGTGGAGGAAGGTCTATTTGGTTGACCGTTGTAAGGTACTTCTAATTCTACAAATTCGCGATCCTGAAACAGATTTTTAAACGATAGAAGGTGTCAGGATGAAAGGAATATTTTATTACTATCAATTAATCAATAGAAATGGAAACCGGGAGGTTGAAGTTGTTGACGTGACAGAAAGAATTACACAGGATTTTCTAAGAAAGGTCAAAACAGAATCGATATTCAGTACGATAATGTTTTCTTTTTTTATTCGGTTGCGTATGTTAACTGTCGAAAATAAGAAAAGTTTTCGAAAGCGCACCAAGCAAATGTAAGAAATGATGGTAATCTGTTGCGGATACATCGATCGACTTACCGTCGTTTTCTCTAAACATCTCAAAAGATGGTGATGTTGCAATTCAAAGATATCTTCGGCAGATTCTTCGATTTCTTGTCCACATTCCCTTGCAGCTAACCTCGCTTCCACGGCTTTCTTCTTACTGACAAATGCCGCTCCACTCGTAACCTTTGCAATACGGATTCTGGCCATTCGTGCTTTCTGTTAAATAAATAAAATGTAGTTAGAAACGAAATCGTGCTTAAAAGAAAATCTATACTTAATAAACAAGTCAAAAAGAGTATCATTTTTTTCCTTAAATGTTTGCTCTGTCAATCACGTTCACGTTTTTTCCCTTCCTACTTTAATCGTCTATTTTTAAACGCTTCGAGAAACGCATTAACTCAACTACATCAAAATTTAAGTTAGAAGAATAAATACCTAATAGAAAATGCATTTAACTTTTTTAAGTAACGGAATTTTTCAAATATTTAAAATAAACATATAAAATTAATTTTATTTCTTTCAAAATGAAGATTCGAAATATTTTCTAAGAGCCAAGGCATTTGATGAAAAGTAGTCTACAATAAGTGACCCATTAAAGAGATCATCCAGTCAACATATCTTAACTGAGACTCTATTCTGTATCGTTAAATTGAGTCATTGGATTGTTCTTATCGTCTAAACTATTTATAGGAGATATAACTAAAGCCTCGTCCATTCAAAAATACAACTTAAATCCAATGGAGACTCAACTTGGAAAAGATAATATTATATTGCAAATTTAATTAATGTTCCGTTATAAAATTAAAAATAAAAACTATTCGGATGAGGAAAGCTCATTCAAATGAACATAAAAATCTAAATTATGTAGAAAAACGAATCGATATTTTCAATCTTTCAAAAATCTCCAACAACCCTTTCCGTTCTAGATAACGACTCTATCTAAAACGGAAAGAGTTTTTATAATGTGAAAAGCATGGAAATAAAGACGTAAAAAAGTTCGAATTTTACGCGATGTGACAGATAGACCTGCAGAGTTTATTGTTTAAACTTTAATAATGTAGGCTACGTGCTTAATTTAGAATCGTTCTATATATTTTCTATTGTTTTCGTCATTGTTTGCTCGGCTTAGCCTTGATATACATTGATTTAACGCATTTAATAAACCACGCTTGTTAACTTGTCCACTCTGTATTTCCTGCATTATGTCCCATTTCCTAATTGTATTATATCCTTCTCGACAATCTTTCCATTTCTTTCTTTTTCTTTTTAATGATAGATTATTCTACCGATTGAATAAATTCTAATAGATATAATGTTTCTCTTTTTGAATTTCGTAAAGCACTAGAAATCTACTGATATATTCTTTTTCTTTCCTTTCTCTTAATCCTTAATTCCTAAAGTAGATTTTTCTTCGTTTAAGACCTTGTTACTTTCCATCTTATCCTCCTACATCCTATAACTTATGAATAGACCTATAGCAATCTCTTTTCCGCTATAAAAAAACCATATCTAATAATTAAATAATTGATATAGCATTACATTTACTTGAATATCTTATGTATTATTTAGGGATTGTATACCGGTTTACCGATTTACCGGTTAACCGATAAATTGACAAAAAAACATTCGGTAAACTTACCGGTAAATTTCAAAAATTTACCGGTAATTCGGTAAATGAAAAATCCATACTAGAAATTTCTATGTAGAAAATATTGTGTTTATAGATATTTAAATAGGCTAAAGGGACATTGGAAAAAAAAACAGGTAAGTGTAAGCAACAATATATCTCATTATTAATTTTATGTGAGATAGTTTTTGTTTAATTTTAATTTAATGACCATTCTTCCAACAAGTGTTGAATCAGAAAGGGTATTCTCGTGATCTGAATTATTTTGTACAAAAATTAGATCAAAATTAGGAGATAAGACTATAAATAATTTAAGTTTCTTGAGAAGTTAATTTTAAAAAATGGTAATCAATAAAATGGTATTAGGTACTATATATTATTTCTGTTGTATTTTTATTTTTCTGTATTATTTTATTTCTGTTTATTTTTATATTTATTATTATAGTTTGTTTAGAATAACACTTTAATTTTTATATTTTTTATATTTGATATCTTTGAAATAAAAATGTGAAATGGAAATCATAATGAATTATATTTTTTATCACCTTAATTTTATTTTTCAAGAAAAAAATTTACTGGTAATTTACCGGTAAACCGGTATTTTAATTTCCATTTACCGAATTACCGGTAAATGAAAAAGTCGGTAAATTTACAATCCCTAGTATTATTATTCCAGTTTCCTGTTTCATTTTAAAATATAACATATAAAACGAAAAAAAAATGTCCCGTCTACTAGTAATGTTCGAAACTTCAAAAACTCTGAATTTATTTTAAAAAAATTACAAATTATATTTAATAAAAATAATTTTTCTCTTATTTTTATTTCAAATTGTTTATAAAAATTCAATATTCGGAGTTTATTACGATCAAATATCTCTAGTTTAAACCGCAATTTAATTGCGGTTTGAGCTAGACATATCGAGACTATTAAAACACTGAAAAATTAAAAATGCTTACACATTTTTGTTATATTTTCGGTCTAGTAAAAATAATAAAATCAATTTACACATTTTAATCATTAATTCAAAAATTGTACTTATGCACTCTTCACTTTATCCTGATTATATTTTCAAGCTAAGTTGAATTTTATTGATTTTTAGATGTAGTTGTTTCATTAAATTCAGATCGCTTCTACTAAAATTCTTGTACTGTGCTCTCTCTTTGCCAACAAACATATTTCCCCCCTAAATCTTAACTTAACCAAAACGCTTCACTATATTAATAACATATCAAAAGCTAATTTGGGAAATATACAAAAAACGAACGTATCTATCTGTTTATCAGGCGGAAAATCGATTTGGAAAATTTCCAACAGAGTCAAATTTATAAAATAATCCTTAAACGCGAAGACACTTAGTCAAAATGCGATTCTATCCGGAATCACTTATTATATTCTAGAAATTTGACTAAAGTTTTCTTAATTTCCTAAGAAGAAAATAAATTTTAATTAAGTAGCTATTTAGAAAAAATACTTAAACCTGACAATCAAATAATTATACTTAATGAAAAATTTAGTGAGAAAAATCGAATTAAAAACATCATTACAATGTTTAAAGCAATTAAATCGGTCATTAATTTTATCCAAACATTCGATAACTAATTAGTTAAGAATGGAATGACAGACAACGCCCAGTGATTAGATTTTACACTTATTAGTTGACATACACGTTTAATCTTTCCTTTAAACGGATTACAAATGTACAATTTTTGAATTAGCATTAAATACGTTGCTACAAGTCGTTCCATCTTTGCAAACATTCATTTTCTAAAATAGTTTTTACGTCAAAGGCTTTCGTTCTTGGCATCTTTCGTTTCATTTTTTTTTCTTTTTTAATATCACAAAACAAATTGACCTAACTATTGTAAAGTTTTGGGTTTGTATAACTTTTATTTAAATATATACACTAGATAAAGTAAATATTTCTTTTGCTATTTTGTGTCCTTGAGAACTGAAAGATTTCTTCTTTTTCTTTGTTTCTTTTTCCTAACTTCCAATTGTGCTATAAATGTCATCGAGACAGGAAAAAATAAAACTTATTTGAATATTTCTAATACTTGTTTTAGATTTTTTTCATGTAGAAAAAGAAAACGAGAGAAAAAGAAACAACTAAACCGAAACGCATTCTTGTATGTGTATGATGTTTTTGTCAGAATATAAATTTTTATAGCGATATATTGATTCAAAATATCTCAATCTTTTCTTATAATAAAATGTTATTTTCTCTAAATTCGCTTTTATTCGTTCAAAAATCATTCAATCATCCGCCTTCAGAATGATTTAATGAGAGTTTCAAACCAAATAAGAGTGATTTAGCGATTTTGAATCGAAATGATGGCAATTTAATGAAGAAAGAGAGAGATAGAGAGAAACGTATATTTCAGAATGATTTAATAAATTTAAATCCCATTTTAGAACAATTTATTGTTCCGAATGAATAAATATGAGGATGATTCATTGAAGTTTTGAATCCAAATGCGAATTTAAAGATGATTCCACCAAATGAATCCAACTAAAGATTTAATGATATCGAATTCGTGAAGATGATTAATGATTTCTATAAATATATATGAGAATAATTTAATATTGTTAAAATTATTTGATGATTTAACAACTGAAATAAATTGGATTGAAAATGACTTAACAAAATTTGAATCTAAATAACAGTAATTTAATAATTCTAAACTCATTTAAGGATGATTAATGATGTCTATAAATCAAAATGAAGATGATTTATCGCTTTGAAAACAATCTAATAAGTTGGATAAATTTAAATTAGAATGATTTAATGCTTCTCAAATCTAAATGGTAACAATTTAATTGGTTTTAGGATAATTCAATAATATATAAATTAAAATTATTTCCAATTAGAATAAAAATTAAAAAAAATTAAATAGCTCAAAAATCTTAAATTTGGCCTTATTCATCGAAAAATATTAACTTATAATTAATTTAACACGTTTTAGAACATAATTATCGTCGATTCACGCTCAAAATGATCATTTGTGATAGTTTATAACAGTAAGTTTAGTGAAGCGTGAGGAAAAAAACGTCTAGTTTATCCTTTAGGAAACTTTCTTCCCTAGTTTTATCCCAACTAAACAGAGTAATCGTTTGTATTTATATCCGGATAAATTTAAATGCAAGTTATTCGCTATTGATTTTGTAAAGAAACATGTTAAGGTTGCTCTAGCATGACGGATATTAAGTCTGGTATTATATTCTTTGAACTAAATAGATTCTGATGATACCCCTACCTTACATTAGCCTACATGACAAAATGTTACGACGGTTATTGTCTTTCTTTTCTATTTTTTTACAGTCTTATCTTTACTTATGTTATGTTACCGCATTCGTTTAATTGAAAATATATCTAGCTATTACCATAATATTAACTTTAAATCATTTAATTCAACCGAGACTCGAAATATGAAATCTGTTCATAATTTATGTTAGGTATACCTGCTACATATGATTATTATATGACTTAGTGGATATCAGTCATGTCACAGGCTATTTTAATACAGAAATAGATCTTTAAACTAGAATCGGAATTTGCATATGAGAGTAGAAATTAACAAAAACAATTAA